TTAAATGACTTTTCTGAGCCTTTTATTTCGTGTACAAAGACAAAATAAGAGTAATTTTTTTTTGGTTGTTTAATACTACATCTATGGTAAATTAGTTTCTAAATTTCTTCTATTGTTGTGAACGAGTGTTAAAGATAGGGTTTGTCAACCCTGATATGCTGATGCTGTCATAAAGAAAAGGAATGCACCTTATAAACATAAAAATAACGGTACATTTGCAATACTTTCTCCCAAACTTAATCATTCTTTCCTGCTGTTATCATGTCACTACTAAGCACATTGTTATGAGAGATTGAAAGCTGATTTTCAAAAGGAATTGTCTCAATTAATGAGCAAAAAACGTTTAATTCCTATCGTTTAGACCGTCTGTTGGGTTATGGATGTTTATAAAATGTTACATGTCAGGAGAAAGGGATACTGCCATAAAAGCAAAACGTTACCGACTTATATCCAGTATTCTAAATTTTAGAGTGTTGCTGATGGGTTTTCCGCTATCATCATTTATTGTACTTCAATTTTATTCATCAAATACATTCAATCGTTAAAATTCATTATTGCATGAGTTAAAGAACTAAGAAATGCTATGACTCGATTATTTTGTTTTGACCGATTGAATATGCTTCTGTAATCGAATACAAATTAATTGATCAGATCAGATAAAAGCACGAATAAGGAGTGTTGAGCATAATCTGATTATATTCCTCGTCCGTAATTGAATAAAAACCGTGTGCCATCAAGAACTTGCTGATAAAGCGGATTTCTGATTTGAAAATAAAACCACACTTACCAAACAAAAACACAACAAAAGGCATTAATACCAAATGCATGCACATCCACAGGACAGAAATGTTATAAGAATCATATGTATTGCACTATTAACGTTCATTTTACTAGGTTTTATCAAAGAAGTGCTGACGGTTCAAAAAAGCATAAGTAAGAGAACCAATGCCTCGTTTTTGATTCTAGAAGATCTTACGCTCTACATTTGCAGTTTCTTGGTTTATTCCCTGTACTGTAACATGTTAAAAACCGATCTAAAGAAAATGTGGCTTCATAAGTACAAATTGTGTGCAATTATATGCTTTGATATTGTCCTTTCACAGTGCTTTGTGTTCATTGGCAACCTAAAAATACCGCTTATAGCAAATAACAGTAGTTCAGATGCATCCTCGCTGGGCAGTGCGGTAAAATTAACCCGAATCTTTACGCTTGTAATTTTCGGACCCTTCCTTGAAGAAATCATTTTTAGGCGGTTTCTCTACCAGCTAATCAAAAAGGACAAACGATTGTCTAAAGCAATTAGAAATTTAGAATGGCGCAACATTTTACTCATAATTTCGCTGATAGTGATTAACTCTACGCTGTTTGCGCTGTTACATTACGATGGGCGTTTTATTAATTTCTTTCCATGGCCATTTCTATATTTTGCGTGTGGTGGTATGAACCTGTGCCTGGCATGCGAACTCTGTGACAACATTGTGAGTGCTGTATTTATGCACATCTCTTTTAACTTTTTTGTGTTGATAAAGGCAATTGTGGCAACGTAAACCGCAGTTTGCCAGCTGCAAAGTCATTACAAATTTGAATGTGTAGCGCATGGCTGGCTGAACTATAATTTTTGTTTAACATGCGTAATTTCTGTGGGTTATCATCACGAACAGTATAAGAATGACAAATTTTTATTCCGATGCCTAAATGAACCAATACCGCTTTTAGAGATTGATATAGAATAAAAGTTCTGCTTGCAACCTCCCGATATTTTTGCTGTATTAAGGCACGGATTCTGCTGATGCGCTATAATTGCTATATGCACAAATATCGGCTTAAAGATCAAACCATATATTAGCTTTTTGAACGCCAAGGTACGACACGTAGCATACCAATTTTATGTTCAGGTCATATTTAACATTGTTTTAACCTTATAACGATCACTTATCCGAGTATCAGCACGAATTACAGTATTTGATGTTATAGCGTATAACATGTACATCATGACGGTTTGTGTATGTGAAAATGGCCTCACTCTTTATTCTTAACCTCTTTTATATCATCAATATAAAAACAACTCCTTTCACAAATATTTAGCCGACAGTATACCTGATAATATCTCTTGTAAAACGTATCTATTATATACATCAATTGCCTTTTCTCGTACTCAAAAATGCTTGAAATACGGTATTATCCATAACATGACCGGAATATAACGGGCGCTACAAAATCAAACTACAGCTATATTGATATAGAAAATAAGTTGGGCATAAGTCAATGACAGAGATGGTGCAATGTCACAGGGAGTTTCTTTCCTTGATTAAACGGTTTGATATGATGTTAGTCATTTAAATTGATCCATCTTGTCGAGACACAGCACAGTGCATAGCTCTGCTCATTGCGACATACTCAGCTAATGCTGTGCTCAGCCTCCGTCGATCATTGTTCGTGTTGGCAGTCGTATATGTCTCATTAGTTGAGTGGATATAAAGAGAATCGTTGATCATCTGCCGTCTGCATTTATCTTTATGGTCTACCACTTTCTCTATATCAACCTCTTTTTGGGAATGATAGGTGGTAGGATACAATAATAATTTGCTTATCCAGTCGATACCTCTGGCGGCTTTAGACATTCAAATTTTTAGCAACATTTCTTCGTAATTAAAAGATATGAGATAACATCTTAACAATCTCACAGAAACTCCTTCTTTAATTACAACCTAGTAGTACTTTTTGAAAGCACCTTCAAACTCACTACCGGTAAGGAACTTTTTCATGCCCTCCTTATCCCTCAGGTACATGCACTTTATGAATAGATCGTCATTACCACTCTTCATAAACTTTCTTTTGCCCAAGAAATCACATAAAAAGAGCATTCCATCATCCTCACCCAGTCTGAAAGCTTCCGTCGCCTTAGAAAACTTTCCTTGCCTCATAAACAAGCTGCCAAGCATCTTATACTCTGTCGAAGTCTTTGCCACCTTAAATGCATCCTCCAACTTGTTCATCTGCAGATAAATTTCGAAATTGCAATCGAATAAACGAAGCGCTAATTCGTATTCTTTTTGCTTGAGGAGGTAGCTAAGACACTCCTTCTCTCTTCCTACCAATGCTTTACTCTTATTCTTATCGCACTGCCATGCAATGATTTCGTCAATCGGTTTGGTCACCAATTTTTTATCGAAAAAGCAGAAGTTACCATTTTGAATGCCTAAAAAGCAGGTGTTGACACAGGTGATCATAGAAAAGAATCCATTCTCCAACAAATAGTATAATTTGTTATTACTCATGAAGTAAAGCACGTTCTGGTACACACATCCATGCTCAACTGACATGTCCATGATTTTGCACAGTGATAGACCATCAGAGCATCTCTTAGCATCATCGATATCGACCATATCGGTGTGCTCCTTGGAAATAACAATCTTATTACCGATTATAAAAATATCCTGAATGTTAGCTGCACCTTTCACGACTACCTCTCCTGAGTAATCATAAGCTACGAATGCTGTACTCATGTAGTTAACAATAAACTCATCATACAACTTATAACTATTGTACAGCACTTTAAACTGCGTTGCTTTCTCCAAATCGCTGTATATCTCCATTACATCATCCTTAAGGACAACCAGCCTGTCGTTCAATACCTGGGCTTTACCACTGTCCCTCATCTTTTCACGGAAACCAAGGTACGAAAATACAGCAAATCCATCCTTCATTTGCATGCACATCAACTTATTGTTATAAGTAAGGCACTCCACCTCAAAATTAATTTTTCCAATTTCCTTGTCGTTCAAAAACACAGAACCATTTTTAACATGTAGCAAACCTCGGTCAACAAGATATCGGTTTATCTTCGCATCCTGTCTGTCGTAAACAAGCAGCCCAGAATCTGTCGCCACGTAAAAGGCATCGTCTTCAATCCAACTGTCCCACACACGTGAACCCACAAATACCGAGTGTTCAAGCTGCTCGCCCTGTCTCTTGTATATTTTATAGTAGCCATCTTCTGAGCCCGTCACAATCAATTCCTCGGTTACTTTAATATGGTCAATATTCTTGTCCGATATTCCCTCCTTGACCCTACACACGTTGTTATTCCAAATACGCATACAATAATCATCACCCACGCTGTAAAATGTGTTTTTGTACACACTTATGGCATTCACGCCCCGTGTGTGTCCCTTAAATGTCATTAAAAGGACATTCGTTTTGTAGTTCCACAACTTAAGCGTTGTATCAAGAGAACAGCTGAGTAGCCTTTCATCATCAATCACCTGAATATCCATAACGAAATGCTCGTGCCCCTTAAGAACACTTATATCATCATCCTTGATTTTCTTTATCGTAAAATCGTCCGAACAGGTAAAAATGTACTCTTTGCTCGTCCTGATTTTCCTTATAAAGTCATTGTGAATCTTCATACTCTTAATACGGCGCAACGAAGGATCCAGCACTACGATTTCACCGTCATCTGTACCAACCAACAGGTTAGTGGTTGAGGCAAGGGTACGTATTGCAGAATTGCAGATTTTGATCTGCTTTTTTACGATATTGTCAGCAGTAAATAACAGAGTTCCTGTGAAAAGACCACATACAATGTAGTTGCTGTACTTGTGGATGCATTTTACACGATCTGAAGGAATTATCTTGCTTTGAGAAATTTTCATGGGGTAAGCCGGGATGAAATATTAAAAAAACATTTTATTTTATCGGAGACAAACGTATTTTAGAAGGGCAAGCAGCCACAAGACCATTTATTAGTGTAGGTTACCGATTTGCTTTTGATAACCACATTAATCAGCAACCATACACAACTTTACTAATTGTATGGTGTAATATTGCGAGGAGAAACTGAGGTACTTGGTAAATCTAATTTCATCTCATAACACAATACAATCTACTCAACATGATTTATAGATTCTATATATTTAAAACATTCTCCTGATTTGGGTATATTATATGGTTTGTGCTGCTGTCACGTAAATGTGATTATGAAAAGAGAAATGTAAAATTGGCTGCAATAGCGCAGCTATTACATAAGAAAATAACAAAGGCTGAAATGAAACAATTTATTGTTGTGGCATAAGGTTAATTATTCTTAGCAATAAATTGCTTTTATACCATTCAGCGATCTGTCAACTTGTACATATACGGGTAGCTTTTTGGATACTGACTTGATTCTGATATGAAAAACCGTCAGAAATATGTGTTTGCTCGGCTGTATGATATGTAAGATGATAAATAAATAACTTTAAATGAAAAAAGTGGTAAAATGAGGCCTGTCCTATCAATTATGCATACGTTCACGCCATTTATATTCTGCAGTTGTTAATTATTTATGACATTTTGCTGATTAAATACGCTGTTGCCAGTGTTTCTCCATTCAGCATACTGTTCCTCGTTTTAAAAGCTTACGCACACATGAAAAGGAGCAGCAGCTACCATAAAATTCATTCAATACGAAAAACGATTTTGCCAAAGTTTATGATACCACGTAACAATATAGCGCAAGTATCTGGTTTTTTCACAGCAGAAAGAAAAGCTGGTAATAATTACATTTTTCACAGAATGATCAGCATGCTTTAATCCTAAACGCCCATATTTTCTCCACATCTCTCAAAGGAACTAGCAAATCAATTTTATAGCAAGGGGTGCATCTCTTTTTGGACATATTGCTACGTATTGGTTCGATAAAGACCATTTCAATATCTACGAATGCAATATACTGCCATTTCATATTGAATACATCAAATCGGATACTCAGGATGTCCTTAAATATTTATAAACAAATTTATTTATCTTCTAGTCCCATTTGCTCGTATCTTTGTACTTAACCTGCACGTTTTCACGGGTTTGCCCAAACTCTACCTTCTTACTTTCCTTTCCGTTGAACTTACTGTAAAATACTTTGCCTTTCTCCTTGAGATACGTTGTTGAAGGCCTCAAAACGCTCTCATTCAGCTTATATCCCACCTGCACGCCCTTGTCCTTCAAATATAGGGCGTTTTCTGATACAAAATCTGTTATTTTGTTCAATGTTGTGGAAACCGAGGACCGCAAATCGGTGGACGACACCGATTCTAAACGAGTGTAACTTACGGATGGCATGGTATTGATCCGGTGTGTGGTATGAACCGTTGTATTACTACTCGCTTTTACGCACTCCGGCAGCTCTTTTTCGACATTCTCCTTCAAACAAATCATATAATCTCTAACCGCTTCTGTCTGATACCGTTCCCTCGTAGGTAGCGATATAATGCCTTGTATTCTCAAAAAGTCCTTGAACTTCTCATTGCTGCCCATCTTCATTTTTAAATATCCCTCTTCATTCCACTTATCCATGTTAACGCTCCTCACAACGCTTACTCTAACACCAAACGACCGGTGCAAACTCGCACACTCAATGCACAAGAATATTCCGTAGGACAAACTGGCCCACTGCGTGTTTCGTGTGTTGCATTCCATGCAGTGTACGTTTTCGCCAAGCAGGCTGAGCTCTTTCACTTTGTCTTCAAACGACATGTAAGGGTTGCGAATTTTTTTGTTAAAAATCAAAAATATAAAATTTCATGTTTCGGTTTTTTACGAATGAGAAAACGATTGAACTAAACTTTTGCATTGAACTGCACAATAATTTGTAGTTTATATAGGGGGCAGCAATAATTGGTTTACACGGATTGATAAAGCAAAATATTTAGAAATACACAGTAATAGAATGACATTTCATAATCGCACCAAATATTCTCATACGTTACTGTAATAATATAAACAAGCACATCATAACAATAGGATGTCACTCCTTTATCATGAACCGAATCCATAAATGGCAAATTATTTGAAACTGAACATGATTTAAGCTGTAAAAATAGTTTATAGCGTCTAATTCGAGTGGTTAATCCAGAATTAAAGATGAGTGGCAAGTACACTTCGTCACTTGACACTGGTAATGGTGCATAGTCAACGGAACTTCCAAATTTATTGATGTGTTTTCAATCAATAATTCGTTTCACCATCCACAGCAAACAATTATTTATCAACATAATGACACTCAAACACGTATGTATCATGATAGAATGTCATTAATGTAATTAGTGGCACACGATCTGGCGTGTCCAACGAATATGTGGATGAAATTAGTTTATAGGTTCAGATAACCAGCAAATCTTGTAATTCGCATTATCAATAGCATTTTCATGATGTGTAATACTGTTATTGCTGTAAAAAGATGTTTTATTCATTACATAGTTGAAAGATATATTTTTGACGGAATCATGATTTAACAAAGACAATATCCTATTTGCCGCAACATGAGAAAGTAAAAATGATTAGTAGTTTTGAACTGATCATGGTAATTGTTGTGAACAAACAATTTACTCATTTTATGAATGCCTGTTTAGTTACAACTTCACAATCTGGTAATTTACTCATTGTCAGCATGAAGAGAACTTTTAACGATGGTAAATAGTGTTAAGATTGACAGATTGGTGCTAGCATTTGACTCAGTAAAATACACGCAATTAAGAAAATAACTTTTAATATCCTGTAGCACTACGTACTTATCACCACATTAATATGTAAATAAGCAAATTCTAATATTTTTGTTGATAGAAGCGTGGCCAATCGGAGTAAATCTGATGTAAAGATCTGCACATAATTGAGTTCATAGGTAATATAGTCGTTAAATCCTTGTATAGTATTGAGAAGGTGATTGTGATGCACATAGCTACTATTATCTTTGTATAAAATATAAATTGTTTTCAAATAATGAGTCAATGATAGAAATTCGTTGTTCATGATGGATTTGTCCCTAAAATCTTTGCCACACACCAATCTATAAACCTGAGACATTTTCAGATAGACATTATAGTCATCTGAGAGGAGCTTAATATAATTTGCAACAGTATCAGCATCAATGACAGCATTTTTTGATAGGTTTATCATATCCATCCGTTCTTGGACAGCGTTTACCGAATTTGACAAAAGTTCCTGGCTCTTCCTCCATATGTCATTTTTGTGACTCTTAAGTCGTCCCAGATGGACAATACTATCCGTAAGAAGATGGCACAGTTTTGTGATTAATCGGTTAAATGTTATTTCAACGTTTAACACTTCTAAATAAACGTAATCATGTAGGTATGGAACCACATCGGTCCAATGATTCATCATGTGGAAATAACCATCGAAAATTTTGCAGTTTAACATTCTATAATATATATTGTTAAAGAATTCGGCGGTTTCAAGTCTAAATTCAATAAATTCATAAATATCATTATAATGAATGTTATAATTCGATAATAATGGCACTGTTAATTTCTTCGCAACGAGATTCAAGATATTGTGCTCGATTGGTAAAGCTTCTTTTACCACAGGGTTTTTTAAGAGTTCTTTCACAATTTGTTTCACTCGTAGCGTATAATCAGCAAAATTAGTATCGATCAATCTCAGCTTGGTGCAGTATGATTTCAGAATTGACAATGCATTCTCCAAGTTATTCGTGTTTACCTCAGATCTGTTTAGGTATGCCAGAATGATTAATTTTGAGAATATTCCGTTATTTTTCATGAGCACTTCCTTGTAGTAAACGATAATCTGATGGTTTGTCTTTGGATTCCAGATTTTCCGGGTCTTGACAATCTGCAACGGAGCAGTAGACTCAGAGGTTGTGATAAACATCATTATTGATAGCAAAACACTTATGTACATCACTATTTGACCCATTTTGCATTATATATTTTGCTTAATACCAAAACGGAAGTCCGCTAAAAATAAGGAATTATGGCATATTGACAACCAAATTACAGTTTATATCATAACGATAATTCGTATAGTTTATATCATTTCGGAAGTGGCATGCAAAATGTTTTAATTCTATCAACTCTGTCGGCTTCCAAAGATATATTTGCTGGTTAGTGCAAAACTCTGACATTTTTTAAAGTCTCTTATTTCTGCGTCAAACAAAGTATCCTTTTTGAACAACCCAAATGGTTAGATTGCTATAATATTTGATATTTTTCAATATTTAGCACATTGTTTTTAACCTGATTATAAATTTTCAACTAAGTTCGAGCTTAATAAATCAGAACTATCATTTTTAAGAGTTCATGAAAGCTTCCTAACCTAAAAATGGTTTAATGACGTGGTTATGGTGACAAGCCTGGAGCAGCTTAAAACAACACGAATTACGTTTGTAACACAGCAATTGTTGTGAAGCACGATATAAACAAAGCAAGTTTATGATCTCAGTGCGGTCAAAATAATCAACACAGACACGACAGTTTGTCCAAGAATAATTTACTTAGCTATCACTGTATTACCCATGAACTCATCAGCACTGCTAAAACCATCACATTCGTCTCAGTTCAGCACGAACAAGAGCAACTTGGTGCTGTTCAAACTACCAAATACATCATCATCCTATAAAATTTCCTCCTTCTTATCATCAACTGTTCCTTGTGAACCATTCGATAGCAAGTTTTGAACAAAATCAAAAAACCTGCTGGACTTTTTCGTATCGTTTTTATCAACCAATTCCTTTTTTTCTTCCATCCTTTCTTGTATTTTTTCAGCAACTTCATTTTCTTTACTTTGAATCCCTGTCACCTCTGCGCTCTGTTCCTTGCCCGTAAGTAAATCCCTGGCTGTCACCCGATAAATTCCATTCACGTCCGCCTCAAATCCGACCTCAATCCTCGGCACACCCTTGGGTGCTTTCTTGATGTTCTTGAGGATTATCTTGCCCAAGAAACAATTATTTTTCACATTTTCGTCCTCTCCTTGGTAAATATTAACTATCACTTCTTCCTGGCCGTCCTCGCTGGTCGTGAATACACTGCTTTTTTTCAGTGGCAACGTGCTGTTACGCTTCACGATGGTGCTCATCAGTCCGCCAACGGTTTCAATCCCCAGACTGAGACTTGTCACATCAAGAAGAAGCTTGTTTACATCACCTGATAGAATAGCAGCTTGGATGGCAGCGCCCTGTGCCACTGATTCATCGGGAGAAGCTGTAAATAATGGCTTACGTTTGAAAATTTCTTCACTGAGTCTTCTGACCAAAGGCATCCTCGTCATTCCGCCAACGAGCACAAGATGGTCCACCTGATCAATGTTTGCATCCTTCAGTGCCTTCAAACACGGTTTAACTGTTTTCTTGATTAGTGGTGCAACTATGTCTTCAAACTCAGCACGTCCTAGTTCATGCATGAAATGCGTATCTTTATACGCATACGGAACACTGATTGTCACGCTTTCTTGTGTTGATAACTCCTTCTTTGCGCTTTCAGCTGCCTTTTTCATTCGTGGTCGGATCTTCTTCAAATCTTCATCGCTCAATTCGTTGCCATCCATAAGTTTTCCCATCAGAAAATCCGTTAGAGAGTTGTCAACATCGTCGCCGCCAAGAAAAGAATCTCCCGCTGTTGCCTTGACCTCAAAAATGTTATCGCTCTTCTCAAGGATCGAAATATCAAATGTGCCACCACCAAGATCATACACGGCAATGTGACCCGTGATGGCATGGTTCAAAGCAGCACTTGTCGGCTCGTTAAGCACCCTTAACACCTTGAGCCCCGCCAGTTCACCCGCTTTTTTTGTCGCCTCGCGCTGTGTGTGGTTAAAATATGCCGGCACTGTTATCACAGCAAGCTTAACTGGTCTGTTCAAGTAGCTTTCTGCAGCGCTTTTCAGCTTCGATAGTACAAAAGATGATATTTTTGCCGGTTCGTAGCGTTTATCATCAACCTTGATTTGTATTTCATCCTTCTCTTCCAGAACGTCGAAAGGTAGTTTTCTGGTGTATTCCTCAGTGTCTGCATATTTTCTGCCAATTAATCTCTTTACGTTGAAAATGGTGTGTTTCGGGTCTGTCAGCAATCTGCGTTGTGCAGGTTTTCCGGCTATCACATTCTCACCAGAAATGTTAACCACGCTTGGCGTAGTTCGCTGTCCCTCTTGATTCTCTATTATTGTAGGAATGCTGTCCTGCATTATGGAAATGCATGAGTTAGTGGTTCCTAGATCTATGCCTACTATCGCTGGTTTGTTCATCTTCTAAAATCGGAGGGGAGCATTCACAAAAATTAAAGGAGCCTTTGCGGCAACCGGCAGATGCAAAATATGGTAATGGGTTGTATCAGTTGCCCGGTAAGCCCCTTGTAGTTAATCTAGCATCACGGTTAGCGAAAGCATTTTTGAACAAGCAGTAAAAAATGGAAACGAAGGAATAAAAGGTTCCTGTGTTGTTGATGTATTACTTACCGATTTCGTATTTTCGAAAAAGAAGAAAAAATTCCCGCGGGGCGGAATCGAACCACCGACAATGCGATGACTACGTCACCTCTACAGTCGCATGCTCTACCACTGAGCTACCGCCGGTCGGTCTGCGCTGATAAGTAGCTATTTATTGTTTAGATCGCATGTCTGCTACCAGCTCGTAATTATCCAAAGATGATGTTATCAACGAGTACAATCACAAAGGCGCGTATAAACATTTTAACATACCATTCATACACCACAAATGAATTTTTGCAAAGAATGTACTTCATGATGCATGGTGCAAGCACATATCACAACTCATCCAGCCTTTGCTCCATGGACCGCCAAGTTTAGCACCTCTTAACACGAATTACACAATTGCTGATAGATAAGGTAACAATTTGCAGATACGAATGTGTGAAATGCTGCGATGAGTACCGCTAATGTTGGATTATGATTGCCAGTCGCTCGTTCATTTTAACAATCTCGATTGTCAGCCATCTGTGCATCCAAAAAGTACTTGGAAACCACATCATATACTCTTGGCAAATAGCACAGTATATTTAATTACACACTAATCACTGTTCATTATTCTCTTCTAATTGCGTAAGAATATCAAAAACAGCGTTTTCTATTCTGTCCAAGTACTCATCAGCCTTGGGATTGTTGGAATCAATGAGTTCGCTTAGGTTTTTCATGAAATCGTCGTATGAGGCTTTCAACTCAATTTTGTTGATTTCCTTCATATGGGTTGATCCAGGAATTTTACAAATTGCAGACGAATGGCTGAAATGAATGTATTTAGCAAAAAATAACCGGAGTGGTAGGTAAATGTAGCGTAAGATTACACGATAAACATGCTTAACATACGCTTATAACCAATTGTTATGAAATATGTTGCACGGTTGGTATTTCAAAGTGGACATAGTAGCGTAGTGCAAGAGCTTTAGAAGATTCTGCTATATAAAAAATTGCACCGTCGTCATGCCGAACATTTTGGTGTCTTAACCATGAAGAGTCAAGATTTGGCCTGGAATGCCCACGTGATATAGCACGTTTATATGCAACTATTTGAGTTAAAGTATATTAATGGATAAATTTATGTTTTCTTGTAGAAGAAAACAGCAGTCCTTATAGCATGTATTCATATCTTTTACAGCTGAACAGGCTCATGGTTGGTAGTGTGCAATATACAGCCGAAGTACGCGTATAGCTGTTAAAAAAGACTGAAATGCCAATTATATGTCATATATTGCTGTTAAGGAATGTCGATAGTATTGCTTGTGATCTTGAACCACATTCCAGTTCAATAAAGGATTTAATCGGTTTTACCAAATTTATTTGCATTTAAAGCAATCATTCTGCTAGCATATAATTTACAACAGCACCATACAACCAGATCTGCTGGTCAAGCAGTACACACCTTTTTCTTTTTATTTGCCAGTATTCCATACCCCCATGTCAACCCCTACCAAACGAAGATTGATGAAAGACTTGAAGGACTTAGAAAGAACAAAAAGTAGGACTGTATTCGCTGCACCGTTGCAGGACGACATTCTGACGTGGTGTGCACTCATAATTGGTCCAAAAGACACACCCTTTGAGGATGCGACGTTCAGTATGACCATGGCATTTGATGAATCATATCCATGCACCCCACCAACATGCAAATTCATCAGCAAGGTATACCACCCGAATATTTACGCCAATGGTGATCTGTGCCTGGACATTCTTACGAATAGATGGTCACCCACTTTCAATGTAATGACCATCTTGATGAGCGTTCAATCGATGCTTAACGATCCAAATGTGCACTCACCTGCCAATTTGGAAGCAGCAAATTTGTTTGATAATGACAAGAAGTGCTATGTAAGGCGAGTTAGAGATTGTGTGGAGAAGAGCTGGTATGACCTGGACAATGAGCTTGAGAAGAACGAGGCTGACTGATTTGTTGGTAATAGTTCGCTGTGTCATGCGTGGTTGGTGCTTGCTCTGCAGTGCCCACCTTTTTGTCCTTGTTTCACTTACTGTTATTAAATCAAATACTCATTCGCTCTTTATCCGTTTCTTCATAAACGAACGCTTTTCCATCGCTGATAAAATCGTGTCCTCAGATCGCATCGAATCTGTGCTATTACTTGATCGTAATTACTTATGTTGTGATAGAGCGGATCGTGATTTATTGCCAAAGAATTGTAAGCATATGTTTTAATCTATGGCGTGCTACTGCCCTTAACATGCCTATCTATGTCAGATAACAAAAAATTGGCGTATCTGATGCCATCACATAACCTTGCTATCATATTTAACATTGTATGGTGATGGGTAGGCTGCGTCAGAACTGTTAGTTCATGTGAGTGTGCATTATTTCAGTAAAAAACTTTTTAAATGTTGTCAACGCGGATTTTACATGAGTATGGTGCATAACCATCAGTTCTAACGACCAAGAAAACGTGTCTGTCAGACTGCATTTTATGTAATAAATAAACATTTCTCGTTTTAGTCTTCAATTCCAGACTTAAAGCTCAAACGAATGAAACAGTAACTTTTTGGTTATGTCAGTTAAATTGTACTTGACACTGAAATATTAAGCTCAGATGATAACAGATTTGCTCTCATGGTAAATAAAATATGAGTATTACCACCACAATATATGTCGGTCGCATAATCTGTTGTAAGACCGCCTAGAATGACGTGCAGCATAGTATTCGTACCTGTGGCACGATTTATTTTGTTCGCCATCCACCGAACGTAAATTACATAGAAAATATTTTGCTGTTAAATTAAATTTAATTCTTACTTCAGCCGCTTTTCCACATTACCGATGATAGTTTGTGAGCCGCCAATACGAAGTACCTATCGCTGTGTATTCCTCATAACAATCTTTATATGGTTAATAAATCTCTTATGGTCATAAATTGGCACAACTAACAGGCGTATTTATGACACTCAAATGTATCAGTACACCTGTAATTAATCAAACAGTACGAATTTGAAATGTAAATTTGGGAAATAAATTTGAAGCTCATCAAATTACACAACAATTACGCTATGAAAGCATCACAATGTTCAACTAATAAGGTTGATGAAAGGTGTCTTGATGACAGGAACACAATGGTATGAAACATTTGTCGGATAACATCTCTCAATGACTAGAAATGATGCAAAACGATTTAATTAATGATAATTTTCGAATAAATACGCTAGAATGAATGTTAAGGTACTATAAGGAACAAAATCCCTGTATTTATACACGAATTTTTCATAAACATCATTCTGTGAATCCTGCAGGTACAGTTTGATGCAATTTATATCGCAATAAATGACCATGTTTCCTTCACTTTTTGCTTTACCCAATAATTGCTTCAGAAAACGCTTTGTTTTAGCTAATTCGTAATTGCTGAGGAAGATTAGACCCACTTTCGCAAAAAAGGATACCTTATAAAAAGGAGGAACCATTTTGTTGTCTCGCAGAATGATGAAATCCTCAATAGTGTAGGTTTCGTTCTGTACCAAGGAATTGCCCGTTGGATGCATTGCACTGTATACCCTAGGGATTAACAGATCGTATTGTATAATATTTCTCGTTTTTGATTTATTAAGATAGCAAATGTAGTTCAAGTCTTCAGAGATCTTCAGGAAATTTCTGTAACCACTGCTATTTCCCATCAGGTTCAAAAATCTTCTATTGTCCTTTGAGGCCTCAGTACAGCACACAATTATAAAGGAGATACAAACTATGAAGAAGACTTTGATAATTTCCTTGACGTATAATCCCCTCATAGCGTTCTTGAAGGATAAAATTTTACAGCTCTTATCAAATTACTAAATATATCGGCGTGAACTAATCATAATAAACAAGCGGGAAAAGTTACGTATTATTATGAGAATTTTGTACAAGGCATATTTTCAGAGAATCAAGTATTGCATTGCCTCACTATTTCATATCGAGATTTTGCAGAAATGTACATCACAGCTATCATGAGAGACTACGACACTCGTTGTACGAAATATGCAGCAAACACGCAAGAACTCAATAATTTAGTGCTCTACAAGCGAATAAATATCTGTATACATTTTTCCGTTGCTATTTTCAGGTCTGCACACATTGTACCTCTCACCTCTGCGCACGATTTAAAAGGTTTGAGATGCATTGTACTGTTGAAGCTGATCTTCATTTCTTTAAACACCAGGTTTGCTACGCTTGGTGACACTTCTTTTATACCATGGAGATACATTTTTATGAACATACAACATGTTATTCGCGAGTGAGAGTAATTTATCGGTCAATATTTTGTGTTTTAATGCGAATTAAATACATTTATGGTTAATTATGCCGTGAGTCAGCTACAGTCTTCCTCGGTACACCTGATACATCTCAATTCTTTTTCACATTCCTCAAAAATGAAATAAAATAAAAAATATTTCTCACCCATAAGAAACGAAAAGAAGATGGAGGAGCTAGATCAAAAAAAATTGGAAATAGAAGAACCACAGCTACTTCCTGAAATAACAATCGAACTATTACTTTTATCAACGAAGAAGAACATACTGGACATAGTGTGCAGAGATTTTTATGCCTATGCTCTTCAGCATCAGGAAAGTATCCCTCCTGCAAAACACTTGAAAACAATAAAAGGGCAGATCACCACGCGCAAGTCACCTTGCGGTCAGGGAACTGCAACATGGAGCAGGTACAAGTTGTTTGTCTACGGTAGGAAATTTGAGTTCAGGACGACACATGATTTCTTGGAGAAGGTTGCAACTTTTTTGCAAAATAATGATGTTGAGATTACTTTGAAAGTAAAGAGCTGATTTATTAACGTTATTTTTGGATTCGTCCATGAACATATACGGTATTCGTATGAGGACACTCCATTGGTGTGTTCTGACACGCCTATTTTCACGAGAGTACGGAGGCACTAAAACTTGTGTTTGTGCCGGTCATCCCTAGCGATCAATCAGCCGTGTATTTTAAAGGCTATCTAATACGGTAAATATTCTGTGTTGAATGTAAGGCTATGGCAAGTTCTGACGATGGGCATCCTTGCTACGCATGGATTGTTCTTATGTCAATAATAATTTGCTCGAAGAGGGCGCTTTTACTGTAGGATGTGTTCTTCTATTAATTGCACTGTGTGTCTCGTGTATATGGACTGACAGCTTTGACGGGAGTAGTTAGAAATATATCAACGAGCAGCACAAACTAGTATTAAACAGAACATTATTACCGTAAATAGCAATTATGTACTTAGATTTGTCTAACGATTCACATCATCCCTGTCATATAACATACTGTTGTGGCACCATAATATCTCATACCATTTAAGTTGTATTCTTGCCATACTACTGAGAAGATCTTCGTAGAAAATTTTGGAAATAAAAAACAGTGAACAGAAAATCGAGGAAAAAATTTTTAGAATATCCGCGCTTTGCCAGAATATAGCAAAAATAGAGCAAGATATGCGACTTATTGCCACTAAAATATTTGGCTGTCATCGTATTGTAAAAAAGATACTTATGATATCTACATCAAGTGAATGCAACAAGATTATTAAAAAATCGATTTTAGTACAATCGAATCATGCGTAACACCAACGGTCTTATATACCAACTTATTACAGCACCATAATATCATAATACCAAAGGCACACCAAGCTGCTGACTTCTGCTCATTTTTCTCGCTGCAAAATTCATTATCAACAAATATTCGAATTTGATTCCAGGTGCTAATCCGTTTAACAACAGTAATGTTTAATTCTTACGATTTAACTCATCAATTATGCTTGATCATCACCGAGATATGAAAATAACGCACAGCTATGATATTTAACAAATTCTATCGTATATGATTGTGCATCGCACCCTTGATACAAGGTTCACACAAATAAACACAGCATACTGCCAATATACGACATGACTAACAAATTATAGGAAACTTTTTGTTTTTAAACAGCAAACAGTGGGCAAAAAATATTATTGCGCTGTATAATCCACATCAAATTATCCTTTTATCCTACGACTTGTTTACTATCCGTAATCTTATGTTACATGATCCTTGTTTGACGACGTTCTGAAGGAAAAATCATCTTGACAATAGACTTTTATTTGATTCGGTATGTTTTTGTATCCAGGTTTATTTGTTCGCCGTTTACTTCTAAGGTCAACTCAATAAGACCCTCAAAGTCGATAAAATTACGAAAATAATCAAATAAACTACGATATTGCCTTGTAAATGGGTTTCTGTCAATAAAAGATGACTTTTCTTCGGTGTTTACACATAAAACCAGCTGTTTCAACGCAATTTTCTTTGTTAGTATTTTCACTCGGCATGCATCATTTAGAAAGAACCAAGTAACCTGAAGGGTTTCCAAACTTTCCGGCAGAAAATTAAACACAGCACTGATACGAGAAATCTCTTTATTCAAATTTAAAGTTTTCAGATTTCTATTGTCTTTTAGGCCCTCTAAGTCTAGATTGCATTTCGGAGTATCCGTATCGTATGTACTATCGACAAGCACATTTCTTTCAGCAATTTTTAGTGTCTCAAGCTCGTGGGGTAGAAATGAAAAAAAGTACTCATCGATAAAATGGTAATCTACGATGAGGGTTTTCAGGTTTCGAAACAATCTAAGTAATTTGGTGTTTCTACTGTCTGGGCTAAACCCAACCAAATTCAGGTATTTAAGTCTGCTCCATGTCTTGAAAGTAAGCATGTCATTAAATACTACATTCATTTTCAGGTTTATTATCATCATCTTGTCATACTTTGTGGGACAATGTTTTGGTAAGCCCGCATGCTTCTTTTTCAGCCAAATGTCTGTGACAAAAACACCAAAAATTTTCTCGAAGGAAATATATGAAAATGCATGTGATCGTATTGCTTCATCGTAATATAAGCCATGTAATGTTAGTCTTTCAACATTGACACACCATGCTAATACCTGTTGTAAGAAACTGCTTTTAAAATTGTAAGCTATTTCTAGGCTACGCACAGTTCGCAGGGATGAATGCAGTGGCTTAAGACACATAGTCCCATTTAATCGCGGAATTACTACAAGCCTTCTTAATACTTTGACTGCTGACAAGTCAAACGTTCCGTTGCATTGTAATAATTGAAACTCCTCACAATTTTCGCCGACATAAAAAATCCTGTCCTCCGGAACATCTATCATTCGCAATATAACGGTACGTATGTGGTTTGCACATTTTGTAACGCTGTTTAGATTAAGTTTTTCGAGTGTTAGACAGTTAAGAGAGTTTATCGAAAAAATTTGGCTTAGAACATGCGATGAAATTGCTATTAGTGTTATTTTCTGTAAATTACTAGCTCTAGTATTATCCAAATTAATACAATTCGTGTTTAACTCTACACTTTTGCATTCCCTACCGAGCAATAGCTTTACATTGTTGGTGACCTTGGCATACTCAATAATGACTTCTTCTATGTCATCGGAAAGTCGAATATCACTCTCAAAGCAAAAGTTTGAAAGGCGCAGCGAATAACTACCTCGTGTTGTGGGAACGCTTACATATTCAAGTGTGTTTCCGCAGTCCAATGCCAAAGATGTGAAGCCACCCACTCCTAACATACACATCATTCCACATGATCTTTCTATGTGTAAGCGTGAAATATTCTTACTTATTGCAAATGTGCAGTTTCTGCTGATAGTTACCTCCTCAAGCTTCAGCGTTTTGAGGTTCTCGCCGAGGTATACATTCTGTTCAATTGTTAGATCTGAAATACACAAGTAAATTAATGATTGATAGATCTTCTGATCATAAACGAATGAAGAACAATTAATTACGGCTGATTTTAATTCCTTTACCATGGCTACATCAATATTTGCCTGACAAAATGTAATCCTTATGTATTCTACCTCCTTATTCAGGCGTAATATCGAGTTATTATCGGAAAAAACGTATTCTAAATCAACGAATTGCACATTTTTTGCTAATTCTGAGTGAGCGCGAACTTGAAAGTTTCTGAGTTCGAATGTTGTACAACCGTTCATACCTTCCTCACTAAAATACTTTATGTCCCCATCCACTAAAAATGACGGTTCGCTGTTTTCCATGCTTCTTATTATACTGGTAATATCGATCCGTGTTGCTATAGAACTGAAAGCGAAATTATTGAGGTTGTTGGTCGATATTATTTGTATGGCGGTCTCCGTGCTCAATTTGGCCCATCTTAGATACATGGTCTGGGCAAAAGCACCAAGCACTACTATGCTATGATCGAGAACAACGCTTTTTGCCTCCAAGAAATTGGTGGGAATAGATAATAAAAACTGGTTCGTCGTCAAATTCATGTTGGACAACACCAGCCTGTCGAGCGCCGTAATATGAGGAGCGATTATTCGACCTTTGAAATAACTTAGACAGATGTTAGTGCACGTATGCTTAAGAGAAAAAACCGAGTCCTCATTCATAACCACATGTTGAAGATTCAGATCGCTAATGCACGCATCTACGGATATTGACCTACTAGTATTCATGTTTTTTATGGCCAAATTATACGTACTTATCGAAGTTTTAACAATTTCTAGCGAACATCCAGTCTCGTGAAAATCTATCATGGATTCGCTCTCATAAGATACAAATGGTATTTTGAACTTACCGATGCAGCCATAAAGTTTTAACTCTTCAAAGCCATCATCAATTTGTAAAACACAATTTTCTTCGACGATAACATTTCGGAATTCTAGTCTTTTGATATTTGATTTCAAAAATTCACTATTATTCACGTGTGCGTACTTCAATAACAACCGCTGGCTTTCATATGAACGTGTTACGTCAGAACTATTAAATGGTGAGGATTCATCGGACATTTCTAAACAGAAATCCTTCTGTTCTATCGGAATAATTTTTTTACGGCCCGTAACATCATCCAAAAAAACCGATCTGTAGGAGTTGTCCAAAATAACATTCCTTGTGTTTTTGTGAACCTCAATATGGCTGTCTAACTTAAAGTCAACGCCACAAATGTGCAATTTCGACAGCCTATCGTTGAATTTAACGGTACTCATTAACAATGCCGACTGCAATATGAATTCCCAAGAATCGTTTTTTTTCGACCTGACAAAGACCAATTGGCCATAATTAATTCGTATATGTATACTTTGTTCACTTATAGGAGTGTATAAACGAATTATACCAGTGCATTTGGTTAATGTGATGTTTTCTAAGAATTTTCCTAGAACGAGCACAAGTTCTGCTAATAATTCTACCTCTTCGAGAATAAGCATTTTTATGTTTTGATTCATTTTTTCTAAGCTGTCAGTGAAGGTCCCATTAGCCATCTTCAGCACATCAATAAAACAATCGCTGTTCCGTACTAGTTTAACTGACCAAGTGCCTCCAAATGTAACATGGAAGTTTTTTTCAATGTAGGGAATATAAATATTACCTGAACATTGGTCAATGCATATCGCTCTACAACCCTCGTCAACTCTCACGGTACTATCTTTTATGATTTCGGTATCTTTTAGTGATATTTCTTCCAGATTTTCAGGTAAAACTATAGAGCAACGGATGAATGAGTTAGATATTTTCAGTTTTTTGAGATATTTGGGGAATAAAACACAGTTTCGCAGAACACATTTTTTCAAATGCATATCTACCTCTACAGTTGATAAAAAAGCTAGGTCGAAGGTCAAATGTGTTTTTTCAAATCGTAGAACTATTTTTTTTACACAACAAAGCGCTAGAAAATTGCATCTTAGAACTTTGTGAATATTCAATCCTGCGACGCTGCAGAAAGATTCTATGTAGCTCTTACCCACTGGATCATGGAAAATATCCGAAAAATCAATATCAATCACAAGAAGTGATTCATCTAATGATGCTTCTCTGTATAGATTATATAGCTTCTCACGATTATTAAACAAGAAACCACTGTTCATTTCCATAACATTCTTTGGAAATAAGCACGAAGCCATGTTCAAAAAATTTGTATGAACGAGTAGTCGGTTTTTCTTTTCCTGAATATCTGACATAAATACAACATTATAATGCTCATCTTCTGAATATACACACATTTCATTACGCATTTCCATTACTAAGTTGCAGTAAGCTACCTCAAAACACGATTTTTTTTGTTCAATCTGCCCGGTTCTTTCTTCACAAAGTGTTCCAAGTCGATCATACAAACCGTTATCGTTCAAAAAATACTGGCATATGAGGCGCTGAACTGACCTTTGATTATCCAAAAATATCAGAAGATGTTCCATAATATCAACAATCTCAGAATCTGAAAGCTTTGTCTCGGCACATGTCGACATGCCAATCACTTTCATAAATACCGGTTTCGTAACAGGAATTTGCATGGTCATGTATCTATGTGTTTTATCGCGCTGACAATTCTTTTCTGAATCAATTCTAATCCTAGTTTCGTCGGTCGAGGTAATAGCTTCACATTGATTCGTATTTGACTTGAAAACGTTTAGAGGATCAGCTGACGTGTTATACTCATTGATTCTAAAATTCGACAGTAGCGGTAATGACAATTCCGAAAGATCCTCGCAAATACCTTTTAACTGTATCACTCCCAGATTGTTACATATTGAAATGTTTGATACATCGTTTATTGTCTCTTTTCTAAAACATAGAATCCATTTGGTAATTGTATCAGATGCTCTTGTGAAAGGGAGATACATATTAGCACTGTCCTTCTTCTTTTTATATTTTTATTGTTCTTGAATTGTCTAATTGGATCTCAATCAAGATGAATTAGTGACGGAATATCATTTTTATTCCTCAATCATAGTTTAATACAACAACCAAGCGTATACTGATAAAACATCCTTATAAGTTTGTAATTTTAAAGATTGACTTGTACATCACAATCACATAATATCAATATAAAGAAATTTAGAAACTAGTTTACCATAGATGTAGTATTAAACAACCAAAAAAAAATTACTCTTATTTTGTCTTTGTGCACGAAATAAAAGGCTCAGAAAAGTCATTTAATTAATTTTTCTTGGATGCATCCAGCTGTTCCTTATAAATTACATAACAATTACACGAATATGTCAAATAAAATTAAGCACAAGCAACCAAAAGATGCAAAAGAAGCGAAAATAGCTTGAAAAATATAACCTGACATGTTAAACGAAGAAATATCGTTTCATAGACAATAATTCTATTCTGTTCGTAAAAAGAAGTACGTGGCTAGTTTATATTACACAACCTGCCCGCAAGTAAATCACCCACAACAACGGCGTACAAATACCAGTCATATGGCAAGAAAAATGTGGTACATATGTATGAGTATTGGACAAACAACAGAATTACTGAGTTCACAAGACGAGGTGAATGTTAGGCTCAGAAATATGAGACTGAAAAATTTACCAGAAAAAAATTGCTCCGGCTGATTGAGGCAGTGAATGGGTGCAAACGAAAAGTAACACGCCAACATCAGAGGAACGACACCGAAAAACACCCTTATTTTTCTTTCTTTGACAGCTCTCATCAGTATTGAGTTCTTCTTCAGCAACTGGTAAAAGATCGCCTAAAAAGTATTTCCTCGAAATAGAGCGAAAAATGTGGCATGAACGATAATTGCACATTCTATATTACTTATATATTGACCAAGTATGGATGAAAACTCGGACAATTGACTGTGGTTGTATAAAATCCTCACTAACGGAATTACACGTGTTCTCGATAAGAATGCTAGGAAAAAGAGCAGTACCATATTCTTATTCGTAGCTCCATCTTAAATCTTATTCGAGCATATCTTTGTATAAGTGCAGGATAGCAACACAAGCAACGTATGGCAGCACTGAGATAAAATTAGTACAACAACAAATATTAGGCTGACTAACAAATGCTTATCGGTCTCATAGTTGAGGCATAGTATGTGATATGTTCCATAAATTGAGAAAGAGTGGCAAAAACAGCGATAAAAAAACTTTTCTATTCATTTCGTGGCTGTACACGGTGATGTGTCTTTACATTATGTTTATACGACTCATTCCTTACCAAAACTATTTGATCTGCAAATTAAATGTACATGTTTTACCGCTATAGCTCATATTTTATCGATTTCTCAACCATTCTCTAATCTTGTCTCAAGATTTACTATTTCAGGCGCGAACGTAGTTCTTATTGATATCAATGTGATGTATGAGCACGTGAGAGTCACATATAACATATTTCAACACCTATTTTTGCAGATATTGATGATACTCGCTGTATCAGCAGCTCACCACATCGAATGTATTTAATTCTATTCGACTCTAACGGTTGCTATGGCAGAGTTTTCATCATCGAACAGGTCTTGTGTCCGATGCATGTTACGAGGTACAAGACACAAGTTGCAAACAAGATCACGGCATCAAATATGTTTAGTCCTGGTGCCCAGAGCACACAAGCATCTCTGTTATTCGCATTTAATTTCTCTGTTGATGCACACCTGCTCAGCAAGTCAAATTCAATCACCCGTCACGGTTGGACGATGTATCAGGAATGTAATTGTATAGAAAGTGCAGAACGTGAAGATGTGTGATAAAAGTATTGTCTAGCGAATGAGCGGTGTCATTCTCAGGTGACAGTAATAGCTGCAGCACGAGAAAAGAACAAAAGTAGATGAATGAAGGACGGAACGTTGCGAAAGGCTGTAGCTGAATTTTTTAGTGGCAGATTAACATCAACGTAATTTGCTCCTTCGAAAATGTCTATCTCAGGCATCCTCTACCATATTTCTAGCGGAAGCATTGGTCCTTGATCTCAATATGCACAGCAATCGAGATCTACAGGTGCATATCACGTATCATTCGATGATAATCAGGGCTCACATCCTTTTACAGAAGTAATCTTATCCACGAGCTAACACTTCTCATTTTTTAGCACATTTTGGTGTAATAATCTGGGGAACCGTTGGAAATTTTCACAGCTTCATCTTTAAAGGGGAATTTGAACCTGGATTGTTCTAATGAAGAGGTTGGCTTCCCCACTTGGTCGCAGAATCTATTTATCACCACAGTGCACACAACATCAGCTGAGGTTACAAGCGACTACGACAACATCAGCTCAGGTAAAAGGGATGAAAAAGAGGATGTGATCAGAAAATTTAAACGATGGTGACTGTAGATCACAACATGCCATCGTAAAATTACGTACCGCAACGTGTAATGTGGGCGATTGATTTAGTTTGTGATCCAGAGAGCGCCTCACAGCATTCAAATTGGTATTGCATACTAATGTTGGAAAGATGAAGCGGCAAGAAATAACACAAATAAATAATTTTATGTGCAGCGACTCCATCCGATCAAAACATTTGCGTTAGTTCGTAGGCTTTTGCCGTTGAAAACAGGATGCGCCCACGATTACGAACAAGTACATGTGCGTGCAGAAATCAGTACTAAGGTATGAACACTATCACTGAGACAAATTCTTTAAACTTGCACAATGGTGTTTTCAGATCCCTACCTCCAGCCAGGAAAGTCTCCAGCAAATATTTTAGCAAATTAACACTGGTACGTTATTTAATCAAGATTATTATTTTGTACTACATTCAGAGCATCCGGGCTGGTTATTTAATTCTTACATGTTCATAAGCAGCCTTGCATCCCATCGATCAGAGAAGGAGCAATGAGGAGCAGTTGATGTGTGATAGATAAAAGATTCGTAGTAAAAAATTACAGCTCGTTGAAAAGAATAAATGTTTATACCACTCTTCTGTCGGATAAAGAACTTCCTGAGCTCTTTAATTCTGCCTAATCTCATTCACCACGAATTCAGATTCAAACCAAATTCAACAAATGTTAGTCACAGCCTTGCATTCACACTGCGATGTACTGGTGAGGTAACAGTATCGCCAAAAATAAAACGATGTGTTGTTCGATAGGTCGGTGAAACATGCGCAATTGCTGCTAACCGTAAATAAAACCGCTAAAAATAGTAATTTATGATTAGAACAGTTGGTACTGCGTTTAGCATCTTTACCGGAACATTTGGTGTTTATCATGGCAGTAAAAAGGACATCTCAGCAGTCATTAGTTAATAAGTGTTTATAGCGGTGATCATTAATGGCAGAAACATTTGACCAAAGTATCATTCAGAATTATTAGGATGCATCTGGCTCAACCTGATCCGGTGCCAAACATCAGAGCATGTTACTCGCTTCCTCATTATAAATACCACATATTGCCGAAATTGCTTTTTCTGATCTACAGCTCAGGCTATCTGCGGCCATATGCACATTTTTTTCCTGCTTGTTCCGTGAATAGGCATCAGGCGAACAAACTTCAACAGGTTGCAAAGTCTTCCGGTGCTGCACCCGAATACTATTTTAAACCACCTTAAGTCCAATAATGCAAATCCTGGAATGACTCGGCCTGGTTTCAGAGCACCATTTGCTGCATTATACCTCTCTGCTCTCCGCACATGTAGTTCGTGAAAGTAAAATTAACCGAACAAGACACATACCGCAAAAAGGATGTTGCAGGGATTCAGCGCAATCTTTTTGGTAATAATAAGAACCATTTGTGTTAAATAAACACGTTCTGGCCCAGCAATAGGTATGTGCTTGTGGACGAGAAAAGGTTCGACAGCTCGAAATATGAGAAGGGATAAGAAACAAGGCTTATCGAACACGACTGTGATATTGCACAATCTTTCTGGCGTTCATATGTGCGATCCTCATCTTACTTTCGAATCTAGTCGTGCATCCACAAAAATTTCGATTCAATCAACCAAACAAATCGTTGATACCGTCTTAAACAATGTTGTGCTTTGTTCATGTTTGCAGCATTCAGCACAACACGTTTAGACCTGCAACTCTGGGAATAACGAACACCTGTGCGTAAATTGAGTTATTAAAAGCAGCCATGGCGGGCTGGAGAATAGCCCTTTTCTTTGTTTACGATCGTGTCAACAATAGTAGCCCTCTGTGTATGCCGCGAACTAAATTGGCTTCTATCTAAAGCATTTCGCTCAAGATCATTGCGTCCATTACCAAAGAACATTTGTTCTCGTCATATTTACGCAGTAACTAAAAAAGGAGTGGTATTCTCTGATTTTGATAGATGCCTTTCAGCCATCAACATAATATTTTTACGCGTGTTACTCAGCACTTAAAGACATCACATGCTATCTAAGCTGCATTCATTTCCCTGTAATTTACGAATCGTTCTTCCTATCGCCGGTTCATACTTCATGTGGTCTGTTTTCAGTGTTTGGTAGGACCAGGCATAGCGGCTAAAACAAAATAAATATTTCCAATCTATCGAAATGTTCTGTTGTCCTCTCAACTGCCCATCTCCAGTCACCTCTGTTTTCTCAAGGATTCTTAATTTTACTTTGAACACACGTCTGATTTTACCAATAAATTCTGCATCGCCAACAACTGAAGAACCTAAAGCCTCATCAACTACCTTCACAGCCGTGTTCTCATCAGAACAATGATGTTTTCTAGGATTGAACGTGCTTATGCCATTATTACGCAGCCATTCAACATTCTGCGAAAAGTGTTATCGATAGTCCGAATTCGGGAGTAATTGCAAGTCTCTGTAAGTAAGACTTCTCTGTGTTATCCTCAACAAAAACATTCCCGGTGCTACTATCCTGTTCATGTGCATACAGAACATAAGCTAGGCACGAAAAGTTTACAAGTAATGAAATTCTTACCACTCTTACGGCATTCACCAAACCTGTTGAAGGCAGTGTGGCAATGAAGTATGTTGAAAGGGATGTTAAAGAGGGAACGAAAACCCAGCGTGCAAAAATAACCTGAGTATGAATGCTTGTAGTACCTGCAGCCGTAATTTTGGAAGACTATCAAAGCATATTATTGATATCAACAAGCATTCGTTTTCGAAAGTAAAATCGGTTCATAGCAACTTAAACTGCACGCTCACCAAATAATTTTACTTTCGCACTCATTCGATGTTGCATTTCAGAACCGCGTATTCTGTGCCCAATTCTAAGGGCCTAATCTCTTAACTCACTGCCAATTTCTATAACACATGATCATTTGCGCGTTATTCTGCGTATCATCGGTTAAGAGTCAATCATTCCTCCACACATTCTTCCTATTCACATTTATAGTGCATTTAACTTGTTGTTATATTTTGTACTTCCTCTTCTACCACTGCAAGACTCTCTGATACGTGCAATAAACTTTCAATTTACCATGCCATATATTAAGGACAACCGACTCACGAAGCAGTCTGTGGCCGACTGATTGAATTGAAGATGAAACACTACGTCTTGTTGTGCATACTCAGAGAATACATCAAAGTTGTGTTTGGTGATCTGCTGCGTACTAGCTGGTGCTAAACGAACAACGGCCTTGTCCGTAGCAACACCTGCGGTAGAAATAATTCTATCTGAACTATCAACCACATCTAAACAGAACAACAACACCAGCCGCATCCTTCAATCCTTAGATATTGCCGCTGTACAGCATCTGGAAAGGTAGCATCAGCACAAAGAACACTTCTTTCCATCTAACAGAACAAAATCGTACTTTATGACTCGCCAGATCTTTTAGATCCAGCGATGTGCAAGTCTGGGCGTATCTCTACGTTTAGTAACATGCCATTCGCCGCAGACATGTGATATACACAGACAAAGAAGTGAAAGCCTCTGCTATGTAACTATATGAGTAGAAATGGTGGCACTGCTGTTCCACAAATTAATTTCACTCTGCTGTTGTTCTTTGCCCGGGTGTTCATACCAGCAACACAGCCGCAAACAACGACCAGCCGTAACAACAACTGATACGGGCTCGGTGTGCATTCTGGATTAGAGAGCAGCCCAGAGGCATTTTTCTTGTGAAGAAAAGAGGTAGAAGATCCGATGGAGCAATTTGAACCGGATGCTCTTGTGTTGATGAACTGTGAGGGCATCGCACAGTTCAAACACGTACAATTTTGCGACCAAAAACAGCAGTCACGGCTACCCCCAGCAGCAATGACAGTTCCGCTCAAGTTCAAGCTGTACCCCACGGTCGAAGAGTTGGTAATTCCGGAGCGCAAATCGGAAGGGGCTGCAGGTTATGATGTGTATTCACCACAAGCATTTGAGATACAGCCGAGAACATCTGTTAGAGTGAGTCTAGGGTTTAGGATCGATCTTCCGGACGGCGTGCTCATCAATTTGTACATGAGATCAGGCCTTGCGCTGAAGAAAGGACTGAACGTTGTGGGCAGGCGCATTTATGGCAGCAAAGAGGAAGTATTTGTGGAGATAAGGAATTATTCAGAGGAGACGTACAGAGCAAGCAGGGGAGATAGAATTGTTCAGATGGTGTTCCACGAAGCACTGATGCTAAAATAAAACGATTGTGCCTTGATTTACGGTTGATCCGTTTACATGGACCTGTTTCTTCGTCTTCCACGGTTCAGCTTTGCGATGTTTTGCACTCATCCAGTATTTCAACGGTTCTTCGTTGTCGGCATCGGTCTGCTGCAATACGGCATCCTAGCCAATATGCAACACACTTCCCAGTAATGGTGCGGTGTCCATGCACCGAATCACAATACTGATTCTGTGTCTTGTAACCAGCCGCATCGATGTGTTGTTGATCGATTGGTTTGCCCATGTTGCTCTCCAACCCGCTCATTTACCTGATGCGATGTGTGATGATGAACAAAACTATTTTTGAACATTTCTCGTACCTACAAAGCAATCGTTTTGAACGAACATGGCGAATTGTTCTGCGCACCTAATTCGTTGGTGCAATTCATCGTTCGATAGAACTCAGGTACAACAGAATAGCTGTGGAGTACGGAATGACAGTTCCTGACAGGAGAAGCATACGAATCACGAGATAATGCTTGGCATCGTGTGAGCAGACAATCAGCACCATATCTCCAGAAACAGTTTTTATATGATGGATGATTGTGAGTTATCGATAGATAATTGCGTTTAGTGCTGTTTGGCCCTGCTTGTCTGATATTCTGTGGCACGGGCTCTTTCATGTGAACATTTCACGGATATTCTTACCGAGGAGTGCTCAGCAATTCCGCAGCATAGTGGTGTGCAGGCTAATAATGCTTTACCAGCCCATTATCATGTTGCAGACCGCATCATGTTTCCTTCCGGTAAAGAGAACGGTTTGGTAACGTATTGAGTGCAGCTCAGGTGTAATAACACAATTTGTCGTGTGCGGTACGTTTCGATTCTCTTGTCGCACCTGTTTCTGCTAGCAAGACTGTGCGAAAGAGCATTTTTCTGCCACTTGCAGGGCCTTCATCCAATTTCTGAGCTGGTGTTGTTCCCTTGGCCCGTGAACTCTGATCGATTCTATTTATCGGTGCCATCCTATGCCATACTTCGTCGTAGACAAGCTCGTGGGGTGTACCACCACCTTGTTGACTCCTGACTTGCGCATCTCTTGCCAAGACAAGGAATGAATCGATAGAATTCTTACAATTGAACAGAATGAGTTTTATTTAGTGCTTCGCCAGGAACACGGTAATATCACCGGTCATCCTCGATAATATGCTTTCGTGGGGACGTGTCACGTCTTTAATTACACCATCCTTTGATGGCACGAAGAAGTACAAGTTCTGGATTTTGTTCAAGGCTTTGATGGTCAACGTGAGGCGACATGGCGGAGGCTTGGGCGAATCTCCGACATAGCAAACATAATCCTGGCTATCCAAGCTCTTGTGGTTCGGGAACAGAGAGGCAATGTGTCCATCCTCGCCAATACCTAGCAGTGCCAAATCAACTGTTTGCTCGCCAAAAAGCCCTTCGTACACGCGGATATTTCGTTCCGTCAGTGGTGTTTCCTCCGCCTCAACGTGTCGCAAGAACACACGAGACTGGTAGTGGTTGTGATCATTGACATTATCGCAGATCCGCTCATCTGCATAGTAAACATGCCACGCCGCAGTGCTCATCCCTGCTAAATCGGCGTTGTCTAGTAATTTCAGCAGCGATCCTCCCGCTACAACCATATTGACGGTTTTTCCATCGTATTTCCTCAGAATTTGGTAAACCGCATCTGCAAAATTTGATGTATGTCTCGTGTGAATCATGAGGGGTACCGAAAGAATTACTTGATACCTGAGAATTAAGTTGTCCGTAGCACTTGCACATCGATGAGACGGAGGAGTTACATGTGTACAGAGTCATTGATATAGTGGCATCGCTAGAATGTCTTCCCGGAACACGGGCAGTTCTGCTAAAAAGTTCCTAAAACAGCTTGTTAGTCTGGCTTGGCACAGGATAACAGCCAACCACGGATGTTGAGCCACCGATACCTGCACAAACTGCCATTTTCTATAATTAAGGTGCAGCTGCCCGGTACTCATCCCAAATTACTGGTTTTTATCCGAGAACAAGCGTTCCTTGTCTGTGCTCCGTTAGATACGTTTTATTTCTCAAATGTCCAACGGTATAAACTTGCAACTCCCTGTGCGTATACACCCACAATGTTGGTGCCGTGACGAATCTGCTATCTCACGGTTGCATGGTATTCAATTCTGCCCAATAATCTGATGAACAAACTCTCAGGTAATTCAAAACAGAGAAACAATTCACAGAGCAGCTGTTGTATTCTATGCCATGACCGAGTTGCTATAAAAACAGCAATGCTGCGGTTGATGCATGTGCCTGACCGGTGTACACAAAGTGAATTGGTCACCTCAAAATGGTGTTTGCCATTGTTCACAAGGCAGTGGCAAGGCGCTGTGTAGCCATTCGTGTAAATGTGTGGACAGGCCAGAAGACGTGTCATGCATCAGCACTAAACGGCATGATTGTATGTTGACAAAGAGCTGTGAATCTCTCTACCTGCGTGCTGCATCCTGTGCGGCCATACGTGTTGGCAGTGCATTCCGGTCTCAAAGTTCTGTCCACATTTTCTTCACCCTACATGGTGTACATCTCGTACGACAATCAATCAATAAAACGGTGCAAAATAAAAGGCAGCACAAGCAAAAAAGCGCATGAGCCGTCCAGCAATTATTTCTCGAGCGATATTTCATCCGAATTGGACATTTCAACGTTTTACTCTGATCTCCACCATCTACACCAGTTCATACTAAACGAGAAGAGGGGACATGCACTTCACGGGGACGATACGATTGTGTATCTGCACGGCGAATGGGACCATGACCTGTATGTCCCTGGCATGTGCATCAGAATCATAGAGTGCAGGTGTTGCGGGATCGGTGCGCCGGATGATGCGGGTGGTAATGAGGGCAGCTCGGTGTATGACAGAAAGATCGCGTGCAACGGATCAAGAAGAACGCGGGACAAACTGGGAAAGAAGGTCTTTGATATCACGAACACGAACAGGTATCTGTTATTGGTAGAGACACCAACGCTGCCGGTCACCAATTTGGTATCGGGAATGGAATGTCCGCTGCAACCGCTGTTTAACGAAAAGATAGAAGGCCTGAATTTCCTGTATGATGACAGGCGTATAATACTTGGAAAGCTGTTTCATGTTATGTTGCAGTGTGAGACCAGCATTGATACCCTGCTCAACGAGCATTCGCTGGAATTGTACTCATCTAATCTGACCGAGAGCGAAGCTAAAAAGTGCATTCTTGACGAACTGCCCAAAATCATAGATTTCCGCAAGAAGATACACGGCAAGAATGAGGAGTACATCTATTCGCCGCTTCTCCAGATGAAAGGAATCATCGACATCGTAGACAACGGAGTAGTGGAGATCAAGACAGGGAATTTTAATACAAAGGATGTAGCGCAGGTCCTGCTGTACTACTTGATCAGCGGCATCGAGCCGTTGTTTATTTATTACCTGAAGAGCGGGTCGTTCTTCAACGTTAAAATCAAGCACTTTGATGTTGTGAGTGTGCTTAACAGGAGAAATGCTGTGGCATTTGTTTACTTCATGTGGAACAGCATGCAATGTAACACGAGTACCGGGATGAACCAGGCGAGCAAGAAGACCCATGAGATGTCCACGAGCCAGACAAAGTGCGACTATATCGGGAATGACAGCATAGAAATGAACGCAATTGATGATATTAGCGCTTCAGATAGTGATTTAATAGGCTGCGATGATGCTAGGAACGAGGATTGTGATGATGTTACACGTTTTCTGGATGTACAAGAATTTTTTACACTGAGAGACTTTTACACGGGCATTCTGAGGCTGTGTAAATGTAGGTTTAGCACGTCGTGCAGGATCATAGAATCGATTCTGAGAATGAAGGGGGAGAAGGGGCTCTTTCTGAGAAGACTGATGGAGAACATAATGACCGAGGAGGCACATGAAAGAAAGCAGTGCAACAAACGTTTGAGCTGCATGTTTGTAGGCCAAACAGAGAACATCCTGGAGGTTATACCTGTGACACAGATGGACGAGCGTAACTGCTTTGATACCGCTGAAAACGTCTTCTTGAACGTGTATGACGGGCGAGTCCTGGTTACAACAGCAGAAATCATCAGCAACAAAAACACGCTGAAACTAAGATTGAACCACTACTACAGCTTTAAGCTGAAGGACATTCGCATCGAGGAGAAGAATAGCAATTTAATGCTGAAGAGCATGTGGTACTCGCTGCTTTTCATTGCGATCAAAAGCCATTTGCTGAGCGAGGAGGCCGTTGCTACTTTTAAGAAGCGAGAAAACGTGGTGAGTACAGATAAAGACATGGAACAGGGTGGAAATGAGCTTGTAGCGAAATTTCTGTGCTCGTCGGATGATAGTACAGCCGTATCAGGGCATGTAAATGGCATCATCACTCCTTCTAGAGCTGCCAGCAGTTCGCTGGATAAGAGTTTAAGCATAGGAAGCAGCATGGGCATCCCACGCGTGTATATGGATGAGTTCCTAAGTCTTAATGATGGACAAAAAAGTGCCCTGAACAGATGTCTCACCACCAGTGAATTCTGCACCATACACGGCATGCCAGGCACTGGAAAATCAAAAGTTATCGCTCTTTTGATCAAAATATTACTATTTTATGGCAGATCCGTTCTTATGGTCTGCTACACGAACCTCAGCATATCTAATGTTGTGAAAAGACTCAGCTACAGTTACTACCGGGCAGGAAGCATAAAACAGCGATCTGCCAGTTCAACAGACAAGGAAAAGAACGTGTTTATCGACAGAACAGGACATAAAAGTGTCAAAGAATGGAGGGAGTACTATGATCAACCCTTCGTGGTCTCCACATGCTACAACTTTAGGGATCCCGTGTTCAAAGAGCGTACTTTCGACTACCTGATCATAGATGAGGCATCTCAGCAGCATATACTCCTCTCGCTCATTCCAATCTCCATATCGCGAAAATTTGTGTTGGTCGGCGATCCCCTGCAGCTGTACCCGCTCGCAAGATCGTTCAGGGGCATTTCGCTCTTAGAGTTTTTGGGAATAACATGCGTGCTGAACAGACAGTACAGAATGAAACGGAACATAATGCGGATAAGCAACGAAATGTTTTATGGCGGGCGGATGGAGACATGCATGGGAGATGATGGTGAGCTTGAGCTTATCGATATAAATGGGCGTGTTAGTAGAGAACATGGTGCAAGAAATAGCTCAAATAGAGAGGAGCACGCAGACCGAGCAGTTTGTTTCGACAGCGATCTGTTCTCTGACTTCCTGAGGAAACTGAACGGTTTCTACGGCAAGGCTGTGTCTTTAAACGACATTGAAAAGATCGTACGGATCATCGATGAGAAGTATGATGAGCACACAACGATTCTGTGCTATTTCAACGCAACTGTGGAGATGGTGAAACAAATGGATAGTCGTTACAGGGTAAGCACGATTGATAAGTACCAGGGATGTGAATCAGACAGCATCATTCTGCTTATGTACCCATTCATTGATAACATGATAATGAACAGCCGTGAGAGGTTAAATGTTGCACTGACACGGGCCAAGAACAGGCTGATCATAATATGTGAGAAGAACAGAATGAAGGAGATAGAACTGTTCGATACATTGCAACAAACCATCGCTGGAACAAAGAGAGAACACGGAACAGCAGGTAAATAAGTACGATCCCTGTATCTGCACATAAATTAAATTTGTTCGCTTCTTGATCGAACGATGTGTATTTTGACACAATTTACGTTTTCTTTTTATGGGCAGGTCTACTTTTTCATTTCAGGTCTTTTAACCTGTCTCATGCCGTATACACACGTGTGGGTATTTCTGTGGTGTACAAAACACAAGCCGATTAGTTGGTGGCTGTCCGTTGATATTCATCATTTAATGGCCAAAATCGAGTGAGTTTAACTTTTTTCCCTGCAAATTGAATTGCTGCAACATGCAGTACCCATCCGTTATCCAAATGATGTTTATTTAAATGCTCTTCATCCGGTAACGCTTTGTTAAGCTTGTTTGTCGGCGTATTCCTGCTATATCACCCGCAGAGCTGCAGGCATATTCGTCTTTGATCATAAGGCGCTGCAAAATTGCAAGGTCCTCTCGAAGCGATGTGTCAATTCAGATCAATCAGCTATCTGTTGAATTTGAGGCCCTGTTCGTTTTACACACTGTCAACACCTGCTCATCGGCTGGATGCAGTGAGATGCCGCTCTACGCAGTGAACTATTCGGTTTCCTATAATTTATGTTAAAGACTCGTGTTCACAATTCAGGCTACGCTTAGAACAGGCCATTTTCCATCCATCAACCCGTTTTGTGCGGCAGCGTTGCGCATTGGCCATAAAACTCATCGTTCAAAATTCCCTTTCTCACATGAATCAGGTTATTGAATCGCCAAGCGATACCGTATTAATTTGCTGGCGTACCTGCCAATTTATCAGTAGACAGGTTTCATAGTACCTACAAACATTTACAACGGGCCAAGAAATGCGTGTGATAGATGGCAGTGGGTATAACTTTCCATCTTATAACGATGGTTGGCTTATCATCATTCCGTTTGTGCAGAACCAAAATGCTGCAATTCTGCTATTTCAAAGTAATTGAAACACATTTTTTTTGTGCCAGTGCCAATTATCGTTCGTCTGATAGAATCAAAGTATGATTTTGTTGTATTTTGGCTATTTGCTGGAACAGAACAGAAACATTTGATGGCGGGCATTGTGCAGTTTTTCTGGTGTGTGATTGCTAGTTTACTCCCGTTGTGTTGGTAACAGGTGTTGCTATGGGCAGACATGAGGCTCATCGTTCCAACGGTTCATATACTGGAACTTTTCAGGATTTGTCTGGTAGCTTAGACCGAGCAACAAAGCAGGAAAACTGATTCTCTTTTCACAATGATACCAGATTTGAATTTCTCTTGACAGAAGAATTCGTAACGATGGCCAGAGGGTCTTCCTTCAGGTATCACACCAGAGATGTTATACCAGCAGCAAGCGTATTCAGGGAATGAGAAGCGTTAATTCGTTTGCAGCAGGCAAGATCTGGTGATGTATGTGAAAGAGACAGGCTCTTACCGTTGTGAGATGATATATGACACATATTCAAGGAAATCCTTAGCTACTGGTGCATATTTATATCCGGTACAGAACTAAACAGTCACGAAATAAAGGCCTCGCAGATACGATGAGGGATACTCTCCGGAGTTATAGGTTTCAAAGGGTAAACCATGCAACATCTGTCGAGTAGAACAAAGAGCAACCTAAAGTAACGCACATTGCATTGGTTGCAGGATAATTGGTTTAATTTCTAGAAACGGTTCCTTTACTCTGTCATTTCCTGTTCGAGTTTAGTAACAGATGCAACGCTCATCATCTCAAGACCGCCCTTTATAATACACTGTTCGTTTCTAAGAATCACCGCTTTGGAGTATATTTCTATCCACCAATGCTTCCAGTTCTTTATCGATGTCATTATTCGAACATTAAATCTTGATAAATGATCAGATCAGCCCAGTGTGTTGTTTGATGCCATGGCAATGCTGTGATGATTGCCTATCATTCAACGATGGGAGAGAGCACAAAATGTTATTCTTCTATGGAGAAATGCGGACACATCAATGAATGTTTCAAATGCATACTTGAAACAGCCCTCTCGTTAAATACGAACTCGATGAATTTACGATTCGGTCTACTGCCTCAATTGCAAAGCAGTGCGAAATAACGAAAACATTGTTTTAGGCTACCCTTAATGACTCACGAGCGGGTCTACCTTGCCAGTAAATTCTATTTTTATTCAATTTTCTCGTTTAGAAGCACCGTGTTTCATTCTCATTCTTTTAATACAATTTAAAAATAACTGCGCATCTGCGACAAGATCACTGTGCTGCTTCTGGTCTTTGCTTGGTAAAGAGCACTCATCGCCAGGCCGATTAGGAGGAGGTACATCGCATACAGTAGATAACAACTTGTCTATGTGTGCCTTGTTGACACGATTTCTATCACAAATACTACGCCGCTTTCTTCGTCCTGATCTTTTAACAGGTGTGTAATAGCTGTACAGCTCTTTCTCACCCACAAGATCGGTAAAAATGTCGTATTTTGGTCGTAACGTGTATTTATGGCCCTTGTAGATTACAGCAAAATCGTCATATGGATCGTTGCATATTTGCACGACATCGTCTTTTTCACTTTTTTTACTCATTCTCGTTCAGTTCCACGTATTTTTATAGGCAATTCCATACTCCGTGTTTAATGTTCACTCGTATGGTCTAATTAAGAGTCTGCGTATCAACTTCATACGTTTATGTTTTATAATTTGTTGTTGTGTTCACCATCTCCATTCAACCATGTTGAAATGCACTTTTTATACTTAGAGAACGAGCTGAGCGGTTAACGGTTTATCAAGTATTTTTTGGCCACATATTCATTTTGATTAGCACATATAACAACGTCTCATGTGTTAATCACGCTTAAACTATTTTCTGATACGTGATCATGGTTTAACGGTTAATGATGGACCAATCACCGAACCAGTTATTAGCGCACAAATTGATGTAGCAGAAAGAAATCAACTACGTGATACGAGGATTTGGCCGAACATGGAAATTGAAAGGTTCTTATGGCAATTGGCGGGCTGGTGCTTGCAATAAATCAAGCTAGCAATTTGCGCAGCTCGTGTTCCGCAAAAAATGCCGAGAAAACTAAGGCAAAAACAGAAAACTGTGTGAACGTGAACTGTGTGCTGAATCGATAAATTGGCGCAGTTTCGGTGTTTAAGACACGCGTTAGGTTTTGTTCACTGCTACTAAAAGGTGCGGCAGAAAGCGCTTTACAGTAATCCACTATAATATTAAAACGCAATTTCAATACTTTCAGCAGCTGAACAGGTTATTCTGCCACACTTACGAATGAGTTGATTAAAAATAGATTAGTACCTAAGTACGCGTGTTATGAAGGTGGAGGCAAAACAATCCTTTACTCACTGTGATTATCAATGGTGTAAACGAAATGTGTGCTGTGCCGGTTAATCGGACTTGTTGGCTTGTTGGTATCCGTAAGTGGTGTAAATAACGATTTCTGAACAGATCTGTTGTGATGTGGCAAGCTCATCTATATAAAGCATTGCATGCGTATCGGTAAAAACTATGCATCTCGTAAGATTATACCGTGTAATTCCCACGTACCACTCGCGTTATGAGATAACAACATGCTTGAAGAAGGATTAAACCGTAGCATTGACCAAATCTGGTCACATCATGGTATAAACGATCGAATTACAATATTCGGTAGGCAAACGTAATGATTTATCAATCACAGATAATTTTGCCACGTTTGTAAAAAATATTAAAAATCTTACTAATTATTCGTTTGTAGCTTTAATTCCTGAGGTTGTGCCTTTTTATTGGAAGCATGTTCATTTGTACTACCATACCAGCTCTGCACAGGTACATGTTTTTATGGTTTGAACTTGAAGCTGGACTGATCTTACCTAGAATTCGTTAGTTTCAACTCACAGGACCGATC